GTTTTTGTTACTTTCCATTCCTAAAACCAAAAAAGGGCATATGACAAGAAAATGAAGGCACTCATGTATCATTTTATAAGTCAGTAGAGTTGAGATCTACTTACCTCTCTATGAAAAGCAATTATAAGAAGGAGAAGTGTAGAAGGAAAAAAAAAAAAAGATTATTCTCTAGGCCTGAAAATATTACACTTTAAATATTAAGTTGAAATTGTATTTCTTTATTGAGGCTAAAATGGACTTAGAACTAACCACAATATTTCCAAAGCTCATGTTCCTGACACAAGGGATGGCCAAGAGGATATACAGATATTCAACTTCAGGTCACAGGTTCGAGTCAGTGCAGATTTTTAGTGACAATAAGACCAAGACTCTTCAAGGACTATTCGAAACAGGCACAGTTCACAGCAGAGCACATAAGAGTTCACCTCTAAATCACTAATTGGCAGCCTCAGTAAAGTGAAGCCAAGCATGAAATAGCTAGAGATTAAACTATTACTCTAGCCCATCTTCCCTAAAGCATTCCAACACAGGAAGCAGTAAAAGGGGGTGGGGTGAGGGGAAGAACTTGAGATTTTATCATAAAAGCAATGGACAGCCATTGAAAATTTTTTAAGCAAGAGGATGGCATGATCACGTCTGCAATTCTGAAAAAATATTCTCAGGAAGATTCAGACTGTGAGGGCAAAATGGAGAATGAGACTTGAAACAGACTGGAGGTGCTCTCAGCAATCAAAGCCAGAAAAGACTGGGGTCTGACTTCTGAAATGGGACTAAACTTGGGGTCAGAGATAAGAGAATAGATTTATTATTAGGCAAGGAAAAGCAATGTGTGTCCCAGCCACTGACTGAGTACGGGAAAGAAGGCAGTAAAAGAATCAAGGCTTTTATCAAGTATCTTTCTTAAATTGGTTGATAGTATTACCACTAAGAGAGAGAGGAAGAGGGACAAGTTTTGGGAATAGAAATGAGATCACTGTGAGCAAGCTGTAAAAGATAAGAAATGCCTGTGGGGTGTATAAATGGAGATGTTCAAAAGGCAGTTACAGTTATAGGTCGCTATGCAGGTGAAAGATCTGGGCTACGGATATAGAACAGATGATCATCAGCATATAGATTGTAGCTGAAACTTTAAAGAGGTTAAAATCACAGAGAAAGGGACGAGCAGTTGGAGTAATGTCTATGTTGCTGGATTCCCATTTAGTTGACTGCGGTTCAAGTCCTGGACCCAGTGGCTTAAACTCCACTGGACACATGTGAATGTGGGCGTGTCCAAGATCCAGAGAGGAGAACGAAGGAGAAGGGATTGCAGTGTGGCCATCCCCCCGGGGGTGATTTCTCGCTTTCTGTCTGTCTGTCTCTCTCTTTCTGGCGAGCACAAGTGCCCTATAGCAAAAGTGTCTCTCTCTCTCCTCTCTCTCTCTCTCTCTAAATAAATAAATAAATAAATAAAATAACAGAGAAAGAAATTAAAGAATGCAAATAAACAGAAGAAAAGAATGCAGCCCTGCTGGAGCACCAAGATTTAAGATATGAACCGAAAAAGAGAACCAGAGGAGGGACCAGCAGATGGTGTAATGGTTACTTTGCTGGAAGGGATTGTGGCATGGTGATCCCCCCTTTGGAGGGGTAGTAAATTCTCACTTTCTGTCTCTCTGTTTTTCTGTCTCTTTGGTGAGTGCACACAACCTGTAGCAAAAAATCTCTCAAAAAAAAAAATAATAATAATAAATAAATAAATAAAGTACCACAGGAGACTAGAAAGAAGAGCCAGGAAAGTAATGAGGAAAACGGGGCACGAGCTATATGGTAAAAGGCAAAGGAGGACAGAGTTTCAGGAGAATCATGTCCGAGACCTCACAAAACTTCAGTAAAAGATAGGAACCAGCAGTTAGCATAATGGCTATGTCGCTGGACTCCCATGTAGTCGACCACGGTTCATATTCCGGACCCGGTGGCTTAAAACTCACACCGGGCATGTGAGCGTGCATACCCAAGATCTTGAGGGGAGAATGGAGGAGAAGGGATTGTGGCGTGACCATCCCCTCTGGGGAGTGATTTCTTGCTTTCTGTCTCTATGTCTCTCTCTGTCTGTCTGGTGAGTGCACGCGCCCTATAGCAAAAACCACTCCAAAAAATAAAACTTCAGTAAAAGAAAAAGTGAATTGTGTGCATTGGATTTAGCATTGAGGTGTTCAGGTGTTCATGTACAGACTTTGTCAGAGAATTTTCAGTAAAACTGTGAGATAGATTGCAATAGGGGAGGAGTATACAAGATCACAGAGGAGCAATACATAATACATCATTTTTCCCATGAGACTTGTCTCTGATGAGAAGGAGTAGTAGTTAGAGGAAATGTTTCTTGTGCTTTATTTTTGTTTTACTGAAGAGACTTTGGCATGCTTTAACACTGAGGAGAAAGCTAGTATAAAGGAGTCATAAAGCTGGTCTGCATTATGGACACTGGCACCTCTAAACTGCAGCCATGGAATGTGGGCCCCGTGGAGTGGTACAGTACTAACAGGCTCCACAGCCAGTGCCCGTCCACAAAGCTGCCTCATGTCCTATGGCTATAGAGACAGGCAGGTTAGAGCCTTCCTTGTGAAGAAAACAGACACAACAGTTCCTTCTCTGTTCTTTCAAAATGCCACAAGGTAAAAAGGACTAGAGGTTAAGATGAAGGGTCATGTCTGAGAACCAGAGGCATGTGATTTAGTGGGGTGTGCAGGGGTCCAGCGGGACAGGCCGGTGAGTGGCAAGCTCTGTGATGGCACTGCCACACGCAGGCTGGGAGCTGGGTGCTTTATATAAAGTTGGCAGTTTGATTCAATTCTGAGGTCTAATCTCTGGGAGACCAAATGGAGGTTTCTGTGACTGATTTGCTATCCTTGCTTCTGACAGAGACATATGCGCTACCACTTTTGCTCCTAATACACTCTTGTTTGGGAAACAAAAAGAACCAGAGTTCTATGAGTATCAGGCCTGAAACTTTATCAGCATTCTTATTTTCACGGCGGCCTGGAGGGGCTCCCTTTGTTCATCCTTTCACCCCAGTGCCAAACCTACTCTGTTCCTGATCCCAGAGAACAGAACTGGTTAGGGAGACAAGATGTGGTATATTAAAGAATAGCAATAATTAGCTAAATAATGCCTGGTTCATTTTATGTTTATGAAACTATGACACTGTCACTCCTCTTCTAAATCCCAGAACCCAGCTGTCTGTCCCAGAGAGATGTTGGGTTAAGGAAACATAACATGGTGTAGAACTTCAATCTTTCTTCCCTAGTATCTCTCAGACACACAAGGAGTCTACGTGTATAATCCACAGTCACTCTTACCACACGCTCCTACACCCACCTTTTCTCTATATCCCCGATTCCCAGATTGCTCTCAGACTTCTGCACAAACACAGCACTCTCATCCATGAAGTCCCCATGGTTTTTATTCCACTCTAATTGCTTTTTTCTCAAGGATTTACCTGAGAAGCTTTTATCCTTTCTCTTGACAGGGTAGTAAGAGAGAAGGAAATTATGACAACAGAGGGGAATGAGGGAGGCTATGAAAACCAAAGCTTAATAATGTTACACTAACATATTAGAAATGTCATAAAGCTTATATCTGTAATCTTTCCTTTCAAAAGTCAGAGCACCTAAGAGAAAACATGTCGGTTGGGGAAAGCTTTCATAATTTGGAGCAGTTCTCATCTTTTCTTCTGCTGACATTCTTATGTGTGAGATGCACTCCCAGGGGGAGCTCAGTGCAGTTCCTAACAAGCTTGCTTCCTCTACTACTCAAGAAAGTATGTGGTTATACAAGTGAATGTGGTGATAAAATCCAATTAACTGTAAAAACAGTCATTTGAAAAACTGTAAAAACAGTCATTTGAAAAACTACTATACAGTCAGTTATCCTTTTATAAATGTGAACTTCAAGCTCCTCTCACCTTCATTCATTTTATAATAATGCAATATAACTACCTTTCAAAGAATGATTTGTACCTGTCCCATGGTCCATAGCCCTAGGAGAAAGGCCTAGTTTAGGGC